TGAATCTGCACTAAGCCTGGAGCTCCAAATTGCTTTATTTAAACCTGGATTTAGGCTATAACGGACGAGACTGCTTGGACTCATGCAGTATACTTTTTATATACGTTAAAACTAGCTCAGCATTCACTCAGGGTAACTGACTTGTCTACTTCATATCAGTTAGATAGTGTTTAGTATTTTTACTCACATTCAAACGCCCTACACTAACCCACCCGGAAGCTACAAGAGACTGTGAAATCAAATCTTTCGTCTCATTGCAAGTGGATTAACTACAATCGACGGGCTCTCCCGTGAAAGAGGCTATGTTAAATCTTTCATGAACCTCCTAGCGTAAAGTGTTGTTAAATTGCGCCAGGTACATTGGCAACGAAAACATCATGATTGCAAAAAAGTGGTTATTCTTCATTCCGACGCTGCACCATCAATAATCATCCCACTCGTCAACATCCCGGCTATATAATCTCTGCGTTATGTGGTGTATTAATCGGCGTAGTCGGCTTTTCGTATGGACCAAACGCGCCCGAAATGACTGTCATTAAGCAACCTACTTGGCCATGGAAATCCAACCCAGTCCCAACACCGTGGCGCCGAAATTAGCCACGATGCTCGAATTCCTGAATACAATCGATGGCAATTTCGTATCTCACAAGGAACAACCTAAATCCGAACATCTGGAAAAGCGCTACCACATTCGAAAGTGAACGAGTGCCGTACTCGACGAAGCTCACACGACGCAGGAGAGATGAAACCTGGAAACTCCGAGTCTTGGCAAAAACACTGAGGTTCAGCTCGTCGAGCTAAGGAGCAAGCGTCTTGTACACGTCAAGAATGTGTCGGCTTTGCCTTCTGGACCACGGCAAACTCGTATTCATTGGTGCATAAAGGCTATCGTTGCCTGCGAGAATCGACTACTAGCAGAGCGTACAAACCAGAGCTGACAGAGATCACGGCGCACGCCCCAAGAAAGTATCCGAGCTTTCATCCTACATCTACTCATCAGAACTGACGCTATCAGGGTACGTTGCCTACTAAATAATACTTAGCAAGGCTGCATACACCTGATTATTTTTTTATTTTGAAATTATTTAGGGA